GTTTGTTTATTTAGGCCCCTAATGCTTTACGCTTTATGGGCAACAAGTGTTCCTTCAAAATGGATAAGGCCCATTGAGGCCTAAGAAGTGATGGTTCACAGCAAAATGGACAAGGCCCATTGAGGCCTGAGAAGTGATGGTTCGCAGAAGAACATGATTGATGAAACAAGTGACTGTATGATCACACACTGATATTAATATGTATCTTGACCTTGACCCCAAAGGCAAAACTTGACTAGCTGCTATAATTGTCAAGCAATAAATGGCCCGAAATAATTGTGGGTGAGTCATCATAACATGCTAAGTTATTTTTGGTCACAAAAGCAATAGATCCTGTTTTACTTTTTTTCCCCTTTCTTTTTCTTTTTCCGAGAACGATCCTATTTAAATTTTTGTTTAGAAAGTTTAATGTGGCCTTGTGAAAAGGATTAGCAAATGATGGGATGAGCATTTTGCTTTTGCCAAAATCTTGACCTTAGCTTTTCAGAAGAATTACTTTCTTAACATTTTTCCTTTTCTATAGCCCACCAGAACTAGGACTACCCAAGTTCCCACTGCTTTTGCAAATTCCTATCGACTTTGAGGAATATATCAAATTTACAACCCAAACAAGGAATTCAAAGTAACTCCCCCAAATGATTATTACTCGTCCCTGTTAGACAAAGAACCATCCGCGTTTTTTCAGGAAGGGCTTGCTTTGACTGAAAGCTCTGAGAAATATCCCAATTTAGAAAAAAATCACAAGGGGAATGGAAATTAAACTTCAACAGAATTCCCATAAATGATAAAATTTCCCCGCTTTTTGATACGGGGAAAGGAAACCAAGATGACACGATGATTTTTTCCAATGACAAGAGCATAACCTGGTAAAATCATACCATTCCTTATTCTTTCGTTCCCTGTAAAACCATGCCTTTCTAGATCTCAGCTGACATTCTATTTTGGAGAAATAAGTTAAAAGAGTCAGTAAAACTAAAAGTGGTTTAAAGTTTAAACTAATCTAATCTCCAAGCAGAGAGCTACAAGCCAACTTGGGCTTGATGTCATGTTCCAAATCTTGTAGATGTTTGGGTTGCTAGCAGGACTTTGCTAGGAGATCAAGCCAGTTTCCTCTATTGGTTGTTTAAAACACAGTCCATTAGGTCAAGGGTTCCAGGCTGGTGAGAGAGAAAGTAATCACCACCCTTCCCCTCTTAGTTTTGCATGCTGCTTTTCCCATCTCTCAAAAATTTTGTCTTGCCTTCTTTTTACCCTCAACTATGGATTTTTGTCCCACCTAATCTCACCCATCGATTATTCACAGTCGATTGTTCTTCCTCTCTGTTTGCAACGATTATTAAGAAATCAGAAGTTAGAAATCTTTAATAAGAAACGAAAAAAACTACATCACAAGGAACAATGCATTGCAATAAAAACACAATCTGACTCTTTCTGTCGGATTATTTTACACTTTCCTCCTTCAATCCATGGAATTCAAATACCTCTTCGCCTATATTAAACTGTACTGTCTTGTGCAAGAGAAATTAGCAGACTTCGGTTAGATATACATATTACCAGTTCACGCGTAACACGTAGGAAAAATGTAAAATCATAAGAAATTATTAGACATATCAAAAGTTAACATCACAAATTATAATTTCTGGTTTACTGAATAATTTATCGATCTGCTTAAATTACCATAAATCCATACAAAAAAATGCACTAATCACTTCAATTTCTTTGTCTTTGACTTTTTCCTCTACCTGCAAACTAGACTTCTTCTTCTTCTTCTTCTTTTATTTAATCTCGTGCTAGCTCAATTTTACAAATGAAACCACTAGGAAATTACAAGAATAAAGTTGACTGTAGACATGCCAATCTCGCACGCAAAAATCAAGGGTAAAGTACATTTCGCCTACTATTGTTTTTTTTTTTTTTTTTAAAAAAAAATCATCAATATCAAATTTATTTCGTTCAGTTTACTTTGATGGATACACGCTATCAATTACTGTAGAAAAAATTAATTTTAAATGTCTTTTTTTTTTCTGACAAATATGTCCATTCTACCATAAATATGATTTTTTTTCCAACTCAACTATACTAAATTGACAAGTCATGACTATTGTAAAATAACTTATTACCAACAACTAATGTGTAAATTAAGAAATTTTATAATACATAAAAAATAACTAGTGAAATATATAGTAGTTACTTCATGGACTCACTTTAAGGAAATAGATAAACATAAAAAAAGAAGAGAGAAAATTAAAAAAAATTGAACAAACGTGAAAATCTTCTTATCACTTTTGATGAGTCTAGATGTAATTTTATGTGTCTATCTCTCTTCTCCAAGTAAATTCATGAAGTAACTACCGCACATACCACTTATTAATTCTTAAGTATTATAAAATTTTCTCGTATAAATTGACAAGTCATGACTAGTAATGGATCCATGCTATCAATTACTATATATATAAAAAATAATTTTAAATGTCATTTTTTTTCTCTTTTTTTTCTGACAAATATGTCCATTCTACAATAAATATGATTTTTTTTTCAACTCAATTATACTAAATTGACAAGTCATGACTAGTGTAAAAGAACTTATTAGTAACAACTAATGTGAAGCTTGCTTTTCTAAATTTTTTCTATGAAAAAATTGTCGCATGTTTGTTGTAGTTCTTGGAAGGAAAAGAGAGATAAAAATACGATGAAGTTAGAGATAGATTAAGTTATATTAGTCTCCTTTTAGTAGTTTGAGGGGGAAAAGAAGATGTTCTTGGAAACAAATTGAAAAATATAGGATTGGTGTTGAGATTATTATTATTATTATTATTATCCAAAAAAGAATTACGAAACATTTGGAAAACCGTATAGGCTATACCAAATACAACTTTCAGTGCTTGTTTTGGAAGACAAAAACTGAAAGGCAATAAGAAAGCATTCCCAGTCTTGTATAGGATAATACTATATATATCTGTTCATATTTTAGTTTTTACTGTCCTAAAATGTCTGTATAGACATATTATGAAGTATTAAATTTTAATTATATCCTTTATTGAAATCTTTTTTTTCCTTAATTTTTATGAAAAGTTAAAAAGAACAAACAAAAGGATAGTATTGAAAAGTCTGAGGAATTTGGAATTATACCGCATCATATTTATTTTGTTTTTTAATCTTAAAAAAAAAAAAACAGAAAGTACAAATAAATTAGGATGGATAGAGTAGATAACACGAAAATATTTGAGACGGATTTTATTTTCCTGCCTTACAACTTTTCCTCTCCCTCTCTTAAAATGCTCCATCTTTTCTTCCATTAATAAAAGAAATACTCTGTGGCTTGCGGGATTGGATTTTATAAAGTAATTCTTTATATCTCACTGTTCAACATCTGTCCTAATTTATTAACTCCATAAATATTTTGGTAATCGGCCTATTTTTTTATTAAAAAATAAAATCAATAACGAAAACTCACATTGATTTAAATTGGATATATTCCAACTATAATTTTTTGCTAAATACCTGGAAAATTTTGAACCATTAACAATATTTATGAAATGCGCGCTATCGCATACAATAAATATATCCTACACAATTTTGTTCAGACACCAACTGAAAAGTTGCTGTGGCCTTTCGTCTCTTGTTGCTGTTGGTGGCCCAACGGAGACTGCTTCCCGTCCGTTCTTGCACTGCTTCTAAAGAAGACAGGATGGTGTCAAGGTAGGAGTACCAAGTACCAACTAGCAAATAATGGGGAAACGATGATTAGTAAGCATATGTTGACGACTTCAATTCTCTTGAAAAAGAGATAGCAACTCGCAATAATATAAATAAGAGAGTTCACAAAAAATATGGGTAAAAAAAATAAAATAAATAACATTAAAAAAAATCGAATTCTCTTATTTCTAGCCTAAGGTGCAACGACCTCGGCTTCCCGGAACTTCTTTTTCCACTCCAATCCCACCACAACAATCACCCGTCTGTATTTTTTTGGCAAATCCATTCCACCTAGCAAAGAATACCTCCGGCCTGTTTGATAGAGAGCATATTATACAGAATTTCAAAAAGAAGGCAAGAACATACCTTAATTATGGCAGCGAATTGAACCAAGATGATGCAGTCTCAGCGAAGAAGATTGTCATGTGACTTGGATAAAGGATCATATCAAAGCAAATTCTTTAATAATTCAACCATGCCATTCTCGATCTTTAACATGGGCGAGACTAGCGAGGGACAAGAACGCATAAGAGAAACAAAAGAGTAGGGATATTAGCTCTTCCCTTACCTTTCGCCGTCTCTTATGACGTTGTTGTCCCCCGCTGATCCCATCCATCAATTCACAGTGTAGTGCATAATCATTGACACTATGGAGGATATACATGAGCAGTAGATCATCCTCAGCATTCTTCTATACCGAACTTGATTGAGACTTTCATTTCTTTTTATAGAAGGAAATTTGGTGCACCATAGGAATCTCCCTCGCAGATTTGACACGTACCCCATCCGCGTTTTCTTAGAAAGAGGCGTCAGTTGAATCTGCCCAGAAGGCTCTTCGACATTACCCTCCAGCCCTTTGATACAATCTCAACCACACAGGCGAAATTACTTCTTTTTTTTTTTATGCGTTGAAAGGAAGTAAGAAATTTGAACCTTAAAAATTGTTTTAAAAGATGTAATACAAAAGAAAGGAAAAATATTTCCTCCTCCTGCTAATAGGAATTTCCTGGCAAACTACCTGAGATAGACACGGGAGTCGGGAGCTACGCGGAAATTATGCAATATTTCGGCAAATTTTAGAAAATGGTTTTTTTTTTTTAATCATAGGGAATGGCATTGATTCAACCAACATTTAATGTGACAATCAGGCACTCCACGTTAAATTTATGATACTAAAAAAATAATTAACAATAGTTATCTTATAAGAGAAATAAACACAAAAAAAAGAAAAAACAAATTAAGAAAAATAAATTTAAACAAAAATATTTTTATTATTTTTAATAGATTCAGATTTTTTTTCCCTTTCATCAAAATAGAACCATAAAATAAATATAGTAGTTATTTTTTATGTATTTTAAAATTTTTGGTTACGATTGTATTATCTGATTTCTCCAAATCTAAACATAACCATAGTTCAATGTTTTTCTGATCTTATTCTTATTTGGAAGGACTTTTATCTAATCCAGTCCCAGTTGAATTCCTAAGTTAAGTCCGATGTGATTTTTGGAGTGCTTTTTCCCCGACAATCAAGTGCATTTTTTGATTTAAGAAAATTGCCACCTTAATGACTAATAAAATAGGAAAACCTCCCACCAAATATGGACCTGCTCGTACCAAAAGAACGCAACATGTCAGTCTTTTTATCATTATTCTTACTGAAAAAATAAAGTACATTTTGATCCTTTTATTTTTCAATTGTTCTACTTCAGCTGCTATTGTTTAAGAAAATTCTCAATATCCAACTCAACTTCATTTGATTCTATGTACAAGAAAGAGACATCTAACTTTAGATGGAGATTGATTCGGCATTTATGGAGGTCAGCAAGGGTGATGTACGAAGGGAAGATGGATGAATAAATTGTAGTTTTGCTTGTGTGAGAAAGATGAAGACAGTCCCCGCTTTTTTAAGTCTTTCAAAGAAATTGGTGGACTGTAGAGAATGATATATGGTGGAATTAGAGTTTTCTTCAGCAGAGAGAATAAATTATAAATTAGTTCTGAAGAGAGAAAATAAATGGATAAAAATAGAAATAAAACATTAAAAAAAAGTCATTTATTTTTCAAAAAAATCACTGATCTAATAAAAAAATAAGTTATTAACGAAATTAAAACATAAATAATTAAATGATTATTTTTTAAAACATAAGAAAACTAATTAATTCATTTCTTAAAACATAAAGGACTAATTTATAATTTAATCCCAATAGGTAAGGAGGCGATAACAAAGTTACAAAAACAAAAAGACCGAGGTAAAAGAGTATATTTTTAAATAATTGATAGGCTAGGACGTGGCCTCAGAACCTATTGGGTGCAGCAGGAAATTTTTGTCCTGCTTTTAGCCTACAACAAAACTAGGCCTATCCTGAGATTTTTTTTTAATTATTATTATTAACAGCCTATCATGGCTCCAAGATTTGATAAAAGGGTATGATGTTACGTACTTTAGAATATCCAGTCACGAAAGCCGCGGAGGATCTCTAGCAACTCCAGAAAGGGAGAGTAGGAAAGTTGTCTGGCACGAAAGTTAAAATTCGTCTAAAAATTTTCGTGTTATATACAGCATTATCATAGTTTTTTTTTTTTTTGGCTATCAGATGTGGGATTCTGCTTCTTAATTTTATGAAAAGTTAAGAAAAACAAACAGAAAGATATTATTTAAAAATTAAAGCAATTTGAAGTGATGTGACATCATATTATTATTATTTTTTAATTTTTATAAAAAAGTAAAAATTAAACAAACAAAAAAACAAACTGGGATAGATGGAGTATAAAACAAGAAAAACTTAACACGAATTTTACTTTCCTGCCATACAACTTTTCCTCTCTCTCTCTTAAACCGTTTCGTCTTTATCAAAGAAATACTCCGCGGCTGAATTTTATAAAGTAATTCTTTATCTCTCACTGTTCGATATATGTCTTAATTTTATTAACTCATGCATTTTTTTTGTAGTAGGCTTATTTTTTATTAACAAAAATAGATAACGAAAACACACATTGATTTTAGATTGGGTATATTCCAACTATAACTTTTTGCTATATACATAGAAAGATTTTGAACCATTAACATTATCACATACATATAAATATATCCTACAAAATTTGGTTTAGACACCAATTAAAAAGTTGCTGTGGCCTTTCGTCTCTTGTTGCTGTTGCTGGCTCAATTGAGACTGCTTCCCTTCGTTGACTGAGCTGCTTCTAAAGGAGACAGGATGGCGTCAAAGTAGGAGTAGCAACGAGCAAATAATGGGGAAAACGATAATTAGCGAGCATATGTCGACAACTTCAATTCTCCTGGAAGACATAGCAACTCACTAATTAAGCCTCTGAAGCAAGGTTTCTCCAAAATCCTCCCTATAATTGTCACTACCAATAAAATGAATTAATAGTCGCTAAACATAAAAAAAAAACTATCGCTAATAAATATTAGTGACGGTTTAAAACCGTTTGAATAATGCTTCTCGCTAAATATTTTGTAACGGTTTTTTTGTAAACCGTCGCTAAATGATCACCAATAAGTTGCTTGACAATGTTAAGAAGGTCGTGGATTAACAACGATGTTAAAAAACCGTTGCTATTTAGCAATCGTTTTCAAAAACTCGTCGCAAAATAGGAGAATATTTGCATCGTATTTAGCAACAGCTTTTTCAACCATCGCTAATTTATTTTTTTATTTTTAATATATATATATATATATACATAAAATCCATTCCAATTTTATAATATATAAAATCTATTATAATTTAACAACTACAATATCGCTATGAAACAAATTTATAAATATGACCAAACCTTTATGGTATATAAAATTTCATAAATATATAAAATCCATTTCAATTTTATAATATATAAAATCCATTATAATTTAACAACTACAATATCGCTACGAAACAAATTTATAAATATGACCAAACCTTTATGGTATATAAAATTTCATAAATATATAAAATCCATTTCAATTTTATAATATATAAAATCAATTCCAATTTAACAACTATAATAACGCCATGAAACAAATTTATAAATATGACGGAACCTTTAATCAAAATTTTCATTTCCCTCCAACGGTAACAAAATTAACGACAGTTTGGTGTTTAGAGATGGTTTTCAACCCAAAAATATCGCTAAGTTAAATTTTTTCTACGAATTTATAGGTAAATTATTTTAGCGAGAGTTTAAAAAAACCGTCGCTAAAATCATTCAATAAAAGGAATTTTAGTGACGGTTTGCAAAAATCCATCACTAAAAATCCATATATTTTTGGATTAGCGACAGTTTAGTTTGAACCCTCGCTAATCCCAAAAACACTCGGATATATTGCGATGGTTTTTAAAAACTGCTGTTGAAAACAATCTTAGTTAATTGAATTTATGATGATTTACAAAACATCGCTAAATATCCACGTTTGACATAAAAATAGCAATGCTTATCTTGAAACCATCACTATTTCCTTTTTTAGCGATGGTTTTATAAACCATCACAAACAAACCGTCGTTAATAATTGTTTTTTCTGGTAGTGTGTACTCATGTAAATAAGAGAGTTCATGAAAAATATGGGTAAAACAAAATTCATAAGGAAAAAAAACTAAATAACAATAAAGAAGATCGAATTCTCTTATTTCCTGCCGAAGCTGCGTAACGACCTCAGCTTCCCATAAATTCTTTGTCCTTTCCAATCCTACCACAACAAACACCCGTTCCTTATTGTTTGATAGAGAGAAAATTATAAAGATTTTCAAAAAGAAAACAAGGATATACCTTATGGCAATGAACTGAACTAATATGTTGCCGTCTCAGCAAATCCTTTAATTCCTCAACCGTGCCATTCTCGATCTTTGACATAGGTGAGACCAGTGAGGGACAAAATCGCATAAGAGAAGAAAAAGCAGAGGATATTAGTTTTTTCTCTCGTCTCCTTTTGGCCATCTCTTATGCCATTTTGTCCACCGTTGATGCCATCCATCAATTCACAGTCTTCAATTTATTGCAATGCATAATCATTGACACTAAGGAGCATATACGAGCAGTAGATCCTCCTCGTCATTCTATGTCGAACTGGATTGAGAATTTCCTTTTCCTTTTATAGAAGGAAATTTGGTGCACCATAGGAATCTCCCTCGAAGATTCGACACGTACCCCATCGGAATTTTCTTAGAAAGAGGCGTCAGTGGAGTCTGCCCAGAAAGCTCTTCGACATTACTCTCCAACCCTTTGATACAATCGCAGCCACTGAGGCGAAATTACTTCTTGTTATACGTTGAAAGGAAGTAATTAAGAAATTTGAACATTAAAAATTATTTGAATAAGATTGCATACGAAAGAAGGAAAATTATTTCCTCCTCCGGGCTAATAGGAATTTCCTCGCAAACTACTAGAGACAGACACGGGACCTACGCGGAAATTATGTAATTTGATAAATTTTAGAAAACGGTATTTTTTTTTATTTTTTTTAATGATAGGTAATGGCATTGATTCAACACATCTAATGTGACAATCAGGTGCTCCACCATAAATTTAAGTTATTAAAAAAACAACTAACAATATTTCCTTTATAAGAGAGATAAACATGAAAAAAAAATAAAAAATAAATTAAGAAAAAAATAACTTTAAGCAAAAATATTTTATTATTTTTAGTAAATTCAGTGTAATTTTCTTTTCTCTTTATTTTTGTCTCTCTCATCAAAATAAAACCATAAAATAAGTAGTGTAGTTATTTTTTATGAATTAAAATTTTTTTGGAACGTTTGTATTATCTGATTTCTCCAAACCTAAACAGAGTTCAATGTTTTTTTCTGGTTTTATTCTTATTTGGAAGGACTTCTAACTAATCCAGTCCCAGTTGAATTCCGGTCCTAGGTTAAGTCCGATGACATTGATTTTTGGAGTGCTCCCCGACAGTCGAGTGCATTTTTTGATTTAAGAAAATTGCCACCTTAATAAATAATAAAATGGGAAAACCTCCCACCTAATATGGACCTGGTCATACCAAAAGAATGCAACATGTCAGTCTTTTATTACTATCATCATTATTATTATTATTATTATTGAAAAAATAAAGTATATTTGATCCTATGATTTTTCAACCGTTCTACTTCGTCACCTGCCATTGTTTAAGAAAATTCTCAACTTCATGATTTTGTTCGGTTTTCGTCTTATTACTGTTATTATTATTTATCTTTTACTTTCAAAAACTGAAAGATTAAATTATTTTTTCTTCTCAAAAGACAAATTAAATTCGGAAAGACAAAAATTGAAAAGCAATAAAAAAAAGTGTTTTCCGCCTTTCCGGTCTTACAGAGGATAATGTTCTCACAGCATGCTTTTTTTTTTTTTTTGATAATATACATTTTGATTCTAGAATTTCTTGAAAAAATATTTTGATCCTTGTGCTATATTTTTCTTACAAATAAATCTTTCATTGAAATTTTTTGTTCATCGTAGTTCATAGTAACAAGCAATTTTGTCATCAAATAAATTTCTATGTCATATTGTAAATTTAATTAGTCAAAATTAATGGAATAATTTAAATGTGTTGATGGATTAGACAATAGTTGAATAGATTTAAATAGATATATTTATTTAAATTATTGAAAAAACAAAGGAAAGAAAAAAATCTCATAATATCATATATATATATATATATATATATATATATATATATATATATATATATATATTATGAGACAATAGATATAAAATGCCATTTTTTTTCTCATTAGTTCCTTTATTTTTTTATATTCAATTTCTTAAAATAAAAATCAAAATAAACTAAAAAATAACAAAAATGATTAAGTTATAAGAAAATGTTAAAATATAAAGATTAAATAATTATTTTTTAAAACAAAAAGACTACTTAACTCATTTTCAAAACTAAAAGAACTAATTTATAATTTACTGCCAATCTTTTTTTATATAATAATAATAATAATAAAAGCAGGAGTGGCAAACGATAGAAAACAATGAATTAAGTAGTATGTATTTTCATCACTCGGTAAGCATACTTCAATCTCTTGAAAAATGACAATAACACCTCACTATAATTAAGCATTTGCAGCATCTTTCCTCCGAAATTCTTCATATTATTATTTCTTTTATGTTAAAATCCTCCTTATTATTATTCTGGCAGAGTTCATAAGAATTGGACCCACCTCCAGAAAAACGAATACGGAAATTCACAAGCAAAAAGAACTAAAATAACATCAAAAGAATTCTCTTATTTCTTGCCTATGCGGTGCAACGACCTCAGCTTCCCAGAAAATTCTTTTCTTCTCCTATTCAACGTGTTCCCTGCTGGTCCCATTGAACCTAGAAACAATTAACGGACCAAAATATTGTAGGGAAGTCACAATAATATGTTATTTTTCGTCACAGCCAAAAAACTAAAAGCAACAGATCCCATACAACTCTTTTTTTCCCTTTCCTTTTTGATAACGATCCCATGTAACTTTGTGAACAAACCAGTTGAAAGGTTGACGTGACATTGTGACAAGGATAATCCGGCTATTGGTGCCATTGATTAGTAATTAGTAGCCTAATTAACCGATTATCTATGCGTTGTTATAAATTATTAAATATATAGATTTAATTCAACTATTCAACTGACTAACACTATTTGTAATTAAAAAATCAAACAAAAAAATAATAAATTATGTATTAAAAATTATAAAGAAAAATAAAGACAAAGAGAACGTTAATTCTTTTAAATCTCATTAGCAAAAACATTATTTCACTTTCAAAGAAAATTTTTATCCTCTTCTGAGTTATAACCGTACCATAAAAACGAAAATACAGAATATGATTTGGAAATAAAAATTAACTTGCAAGTTGAATCCTTAAACAACCTGCTAAAATTAATTAACGACAAACAATCCGAATGATTCTTAATTATATTGAACTCTTAACTAAAATGAAATTTGAAAAGAAAAAAAACCCATCAATGACTTGTACCAACAAAAAATGAAAATGCCACTAATGATCACACAAAGAAAAAAAAAATGATCCATGCACAAGCAAGAGACATCTAACTTTTGATGGAGACTGATTCGGCATTTATGGGGGTCAGCAAGGGAGATGTGAAGGAAAGATGGATGAATAAATTGTAGTTTTGCTTGTGTGAGAAAGATAAAGACAGTCCCGACTTTTTAAGTCTTTGAAAGAAATTAGTGAACTGTAGAGAGTTTACTTCAATAGGAGGAGTAAATTATAGATTAGTCCCTGTCGTTTAGAAAAAAACAAATCAATTGCCTTTTTTCTTTATATAAGGAGAGGAAAAAAAGTTGATAAAAAGAGAATAAATCATCAAAAGAATATTAATTTGAAAAAAATACTAATTTAACAAAAAAAGTGATAAATACTTAGTTATTAAAGGAAATTAAAACATAAATAATTAAATAATTAATTTTTAAAATATGAATGACTATTTTATTCATCTATTCAAACAAATTGGACTGATTTATTATTTACTCTTAACAGGGACGAAGACGATAACAAAGTTACAAAACCAGAAAGAACGAAGTATAAGAGTATATTTTTTAAATAATTGATAGGCTAGGACGTGGCTTCATAAAAGTTTGCCACCTACTGGGCCGAAGGAGTGCAGCAGGAAAATTTTGTCATGCTTTTAGCCTCCAACAACAATAGGCCTATCATGATTTTTTTTAATTATTATTAGCAGCCTGTCATGACTCCATGAGTTGCTGAAAGGGACTGATGTTGCCTCGTTTGTATCCAGTCACGAAAGCCGCAGAGGGTCTCTTTCACGAATACGAAGCAACGCGTTTTTGGGGTGGGGGAGGGAAGTTGTCTGGCACGAAAGTAAATATCCGGCTAAAATTTTTCGTGTTATATATAGCAACATCTTTTTTTTTTTTTTTTTTTTTTTTTGATAATGGCAATATAAAATTTCTCGATGGATTGGAAATGCTTCTAATTTCTTCAGTTTTTTCTTCCAAAAGAAATATTCAAAGTTATATTTGGAAATATATATTTTGGTTCTAACGGTTCTCCCAAATATTCCATTATTCTTCATTGAAGAAAAAATGTCGACATCAATCCTATATTATTTATTTATTTGTGTATAATTAATCCTATATTATTTAATTTGTTTCAATGCACACTTCTTTTGTGGTTTAACACAAATTTTGCTCCTATTTTATTATTATTTGACAATTTAAGGTTTTAATACTAAATTACATGATTTGAATTTAAAATTATTAATTTTTAAGTAAAATTGATTCAATTTATCTAATTACTTTTATATTTAACGATAAACTGGGTTGATTGTTATTTAGAATGTTAAATCAAAGCTGTTTTGATGTTCTACTGTTAATTATGGTCTTTCTTTAACATTTTAAAAATATTTTAACACCTTTAATCTTGAGCTTTTTTTAAAAAATTTCTTTTAAAATATTATAAATATTTTATAAATTATATAAAAATATTATAAAAATATTTTTAATCCCCCTAATTTTGAATTTTTTTTTAAAATATGATAAATATTTTATTAAAAATGTTTTTATAATTTATAATTTATAAAATTATGGGGTTAACCCTTAATTATGCTAATTTTAATTTATAAAATATTTTAATTTATATTATAAACATTTTATAAAAGATGTTGTAAAAAAACATAATTAACAATAGACAATTTTAGGTCTTTAAAAAAATATTTTATAAATTAAAATGAGCATAATCAATGGTTGACCCTCCAAATTTTATAAACTATAAATTAAAAAATATATATATAATATTTTATAAAAAATTTAAAAATATTCAAATTATGGGGTTAAAAATATTTATAATATTTTATAAGAATTTTTTTTGAAAAAAGTTCAAGATTGGGGGAGGGGGTTAAAAAAAATTATTTTTTTTTAAAACATAATTAACAATGAAATGGCAAAATGATATCGTTTTGATAGCAGTTAGAAAAATTGGATCAATTTTACCTAAAAAAATATATTTTAGGATTCAAATTATATAATTTGATACTAAGGATCTTAAATTATCAAATTGTAATAGAATGAGAACAAAATTTACCATTAAATCCTTCTTTTGTCACACTACTAAAGGAAAATAATCATAACTTGCTTAATTTTCCCTATATTAAGTTCATCTTACTTTTATTTTATCTTTTCCTTCCAAATTAAAACTCCAAACTTGTGACAAAATTTAATGGAAAAAACTTAGAAGATGCTTTGACATTAGTTGTTACTAATTAATAGCACGTCCACAACAAATTAAACCGAACAAAATAATATTGAGATTTTTTAAACAACAGCAGCTGAAGTATAACAGTTGGAAAATTATAGGACCAGAATGTATTTTACTGTTTGATTCTCACATGCCAGATCTGCATGCCTATTTTATTCCTGTAATTTCCTTGTGGGTTCATTTGTCAAATGCGCCGTTTAAGTAGAATTGTAAAATTTAGCAAGGAACGAAAAAGAGAGTGGGCGAGGGAGTAGGTTTGGAGATTGTTTTAAACTAATCATCTCAATATAAAAATTTAAGTTATTGAATGAATTTTCTAGAATAATTTTATATTATTTTTTAATATATCTTCACGAATAAAAATAATTTAAATTTAAATTTAAAATGTATACATATTCATCAATATATTTTTTTAATTACTTAATTTTAATAAAAAAATAAAAGTGATGAGATTTGAACTTGCAATCATTTGAACAACAAAATTTTCATACCATTTAAGAAAATATTATTGAAGGCTCAAACTTAATTGAAAATAGCTCATAACCAAAGATTGATGTAGAAGGTGATTAAAAAAAAAACTGTACAATATTAGTTGGCAAATACTGAAAACCAACAGTAATAAAAATGATTACCCACAACTCTTAAAAATGATTTTATACTACTTTCTAAAAAATTTATTCTTGTAATTTTAAAAAGTTAATATACTTTACAACTGATTCCAACTCAACATCTCATTCTTTAAAGTTTGGTTTGCATGAGCATTATCGAAAAAGGAAAAAAATTGTTTGCAATGCATTCAGGGATAAGGAAAGACTAAAAAAGAAATTGAAGGAAGTATATTATCAGGATTTTGTATGAAATTATGGTAAATTACGTGGCGGTCTATGATTTTTCCTACTTGTTTACGTGAACCGGGGGGAATAGGCGCGATAACGGAGCAATTTCTAAGAAAGCGAAGCGGCCCCTAAACGATATCCGCCGCCTGTAGTTTCTCTTATAAAAAGCGGAGAATATGCTCAAGTTCGATATCGGCGAAGAGGAACGTGGATTCCATGGAGTGAAAGAAGAAAGATTCAGGTAAATATTTAGTTATGTTTCATTGATGGGTTATATACAGATTCTCTTCGTTTTGTAATATTCATGGCTCTTTGTGATGTAGTTTGTTTTTTTAAACATTTCTAACATCTGATTTCTTATCTATGCAGACAGAGAGGAAGAATAACCGACAGAATATACATGGAATAGATTGCCTGGGACAAAAACGCATAGGATATATAGGGCAAAGGGGGGCAAGGCAAGAGGAATTTTTGAAGAAATGGGGAAAGCTAAGCAAAACTAAGAGAGGAAACTAACTAGATATTCCGACAAAGTCCTGCCAGCCAATCAACTTCCACAAAATTTTGGAATATAATAATCTCATGCATTAAGCCTAAGTTGGTTTGCAGCTCTCTGCCGGGAGATTAGATTAGTTGAATCCACTTTTAGCTTTACCGACTCTTTATCTTATTTCTTCAAAGCTGCTTCCTTTTTTGTCCCTCTCCTATGCGTTTTTGTCCCTCGGCAGTCTCACCCATGTCAGTTGAGATCTAGAAAGCTATGGTTTTACGGGGAACAAAGAATTTGTTAGAAGAAAAAGGATGGTGTAATTTTATCCAGGTTATAGTAATCTCATTTTCCTGACACTATTGTGTTATCTTGGTTTCCTTTCTCTGTAATCAGGTATGTTCTTGTTATCGGAAAAATCGCTGTGAAATCTTGCATGGTTTCCTTTTCCCTTTATCAAAAGGGGGAGGAACTTTATCATTATCATTCATGGGAATTCTTTTAAATTCCTTTCTTTTTCCTTAATTCCATTCAGTGAAGGTTGGAGACTCATGATGGTTACAAATTTCCATTTCCCTTTTGAATTTTTTCTTTGGTGTGTAGGTTGAAATATTTCTCAGAGATTTCAGAACTGAGTCAACGTAAACCTTTCCGGAAAAACCGCGGACCGCTGTGTCTCTAACATGGGAGGAGGAATAATCATTCGTGGGAGTTATTTTAAAATCTTTGTTTGGGTGGTAAATTTTGATGTATATAATTGTTTGAAGTAAAAGGAATTTGCAAATGGGAGGAGGGCCAACTCCCACTGTATGGGCCAAAGACCTAAGCTCTCTTGATGGGGAAAATAAAAAGAGGAAGTTGCAAAGGGATTAATTCCGGTGGGGAGGGAAGAAAAATAATAAGGAAAAATGTCAAAGGAAGTAATTCTTCTGCAAGCTAAGGTCAAGGAGAAAGGAAGTGCAAGGTGCAATTCATGGAAGCTACAATCTGCTTCCCATCACGTCATTTACTACTCCTCGTTTTCACACCAAGCCGCCTCAGCTCCTTTGGAAAGACTTGCGCTTTTAAAAGTCCGAACCTACCGATGGCAACCGGAGCCGAATAATCCTTGTCACAAGACCACATCAACCTTATGTGTGATTATTATAATAATTTATTGCAAATCCTTAAAAACAATCTGAAGAAACATTGTTTTGTGATTGAATTTTACTTTATAGTCGAAATGCCACATGATATATATATATATATATGCATGCACGTGATAATATTAAATATTGTTACAGTTGGAATATATATAGCGAAATCCTTTCTTCTTCTAAGTGTAGCAAAGAGTTATATTGCTGAAATATACCAAATTTAAATGAATGCGTGTTTTTGCTATCAATTCTATTTTATTATTTTTTAAAAAATATATATAAAGAGTAGGTCTATTATGAAAATTTCCTATCCTGAGTTGATAAAAGGGAACGATCCTGGACAGAGAGATTAAAAACAAAAATGCACCTACTTTATAATATCCAGTAGCGCAAGCAACAGAGCATCTCTCTGCACGTTTTTCTTTTTTTCCTTTTTCTTTTTGTAATATCTCTCCTAAGGAAAGTTGTCTGGCACGCGTGAAAGTAAACTTTTTCGTGTTATAATTATACACCACATTATCGGATTAATATTTCCATACATCCTTGTACTCTTTATTTTACATTTTAAAAATCTCTTTATTATTTTTTGTTTTAATATGTTCTATTTTTGTTATCTTTAGTGCTGTCTCAGTTCGACTACCAAAAGTCCAACAGCAACAAGAGCCGAAAGCCCACAACTCTAACCCAAAAGTTGCAGGATCCATATAATATATATTTATATGTGCTAGGTTTTTGCTATCAATTCTTTTTTTTTTTTCCCTTAAATTTCTTTGACATCTTGGTTTGATGATCTAAATTCTAGCTAAAAAAATCATAAAAATTTAATTTATATCATTAAAGAGTTCTATTTTTGTAAGTTTACTTCTTCAATTTAATTTCTCGTTTTGCTAGAATTGTCCAAAACTAAACATAGTTCAATGTTTTTCTGATCTTATTCTTATTTTGAAGTACTTCTAAGTTCTAACTAATCAATCCCGGTTGAATTCCTAGGCTGAGTCCGATGATATTGATTTTTGGAGTGCTTTTTCCCCGACAATCGAGATCATTTTTTGATTTAAGACAATTGTCACCTTAATAACTAATGAAATAGGAAAACCTCCCACCTAATATGGACTTGGTCACACTAAAAGAATGCAACTTGTTAGTCTTTTTTCTTCTTTTTCCTTTTTTTTTTAATTGAAAACTAAAGTACATTTTGATTCTAGAATTTTCAACTGTTTTACTTCAGCTGCTATTGTTTAAGAAAATTCTCAATGTCAACTCAACTTCATTTTGTTCAGTTTAGTTTGACGTGCACACATGCACACAATTTATTAGGTTTGTTCAATTCAGTTTGATGTGAATACACGATATTAAATATTAATTCGTAGCAACTAATTTAGAATTATTGCATTTTTCTAAATGTTTTCTATGAAATATTTTCTCGTGTTATGAACAGTTTTTGGAAGAAAAAAATAAATAATAATATTAATACGAAGTTAGAAGTTAAAAACAGAGAGAGATTAAGTTTTAATTAGTTTTCTTCAGCAGTTTGGGAAAAAAATTAAAATGAGAATTGAAAAATAAAATATAAAGGGATTGAAGTAGAAAATATTTTCTTTCAAAAGACAAAAACTGAAAACCAAAAAAAATGCTTCTACTCCTTTCCGGTCCTGCCTAGTATAATATTGGAGTCAATGATTTCATATATTTTTTTCTCTTTATTTTGTAATTGAAAAATTTTTGTAACACCCCTAACCTATAACCTAAAAGGTTGAGAACATTATCGCCGTTAAACCACATTTGAAGTGCAATGAATGTAAGTTAACAAGATACTATGACTTAATCTTAGTATCTAATGTGAAATTTACGCCTTAACAATCTAATATTTATCAAGTAGGCCTTAAAATTTAATTAAAAAGGGTTTTACAAATTTTTTGCATTTAACCGTTTGTTCATATTTCTTGAACCGGACTTAAGGCTATTTATTATTTAAATTCTTTTCTTATTAATTATCGCAGACTTTGTTTAGATATAATTCATTATTATTATTATTATATCGCTATTTCTTTTTCTTAATTATTAGTCTTTTTATTCGGCGAGCGTTTGATCAATTTACTTAAATGTCCTAAGGATATTAGCATGCGATAGACAATTTAAAGTAACCGCACTACTATCAACACACAATCATTTTCACTATTAGTAGTTTGATTACACAAAATCTAGTATTCACATACAAAATCAGTTTTATACCAACTACTACGTAATTGGCTTATTTTACTACTACACCATTGTTTTTTAAGTCACACCATCTACTTTTTCATAGCCTTTACTACAACATAGAACAAACCGAGTTAAATGTAGCACATATAAAACTATAGTCAATACCATAATCAAAATAGCATGTAACGAGCCTACTTGAAAGTCAAATCCTCATCCAAGATATAAGCATCCGGTGCATCCCTTGGTAATCGGCTTCGTAGAAAAGTAAGCCATGGTATGCTATTTATCTACATCATAAGAAACTATGTGAGCTACAACCTAGTAAAGTTAACATATGCATGTAGTCCGCATGCATGTATATGCATAATAAATCTTTTTTCTCGTGTTATAAAACATTTCACAAATAGTCTAAAAATCATTTACTATCTTTGGACATATCCCATTTAGGTACTTTAGGGTTTTTATAATATTTGTTTAGCGAACCATACCCATATACGGACGAGTCCTACCAAGTGTCTAAAAGTGCACATCCGCACTTGTCCGACTTTGAACCATTACCATTACCGTATGAAAAACCCATGAAGCCCATCCTCAAAGAAACCTCGAGGTCATGAAAATCCTTTTCTTTAAAATAATTCCGATTGCTATCGAAACTCATAGCATAAAATACATTTCCTTGACTTAAAATACTATTCATGAGTTTTGATATTCATATGCATTTTGAATGAAAATGCATCTTAACAATGATACTCAAGTGCATGTCATAAATGGTTATGCAACCATGTCATAAAAACACATATAGAATTGAGCAAGCATAACGGCATAATAACATTACCTTATATAAATCATCCCAATCAACGCATAGCAAATCATCACCATAGTAAGACACAACTTTACAAGTACTCACATTTCAACCATAAATAACACCTACCATTCAAGTATATTAAATACTAATTCAAAACACGAACAATTATAATATTACACAAAATGACTAAATTTAAAATTTTCTTCACAATAGGCTAACTTTTTTATTCTATTATTATTTATTCATTTTCTTTTTCTTCTTAATATCCATTTTACATTCATTATGTTCTAATTTAATTAAAATTTCCTAATTTTGTAATGGTTGACTAATTATGAGTATTATTTTCTTATTAGGCCCAACTTTCAACTTCCCCATTTTGGACCCATTCTCGATACCCACTAAATGTTTATATTCTCATCAACCTCATTACTTAATTATAACCCCAAATGGACCATTTGAAGGATTAAGGGTTATCTAAACTTGATAACTAAATTTTTCTCCTTTAGGTCAAATTTTTCTCATTTTCAAATCCTAAAAATTAATTCTCATTTGATCCTAAAATTTTAATACTATATATATACAGCAACTATATGGATCAATTTGATTGACATTTAGGGTGTAAAGTTACGCCCAAACCCATATTGGGCCTTAATGGGCCTAAGCCTATATAATCAATTTTCTTTTATTTTCACCAATTTTTTCATTCCTACACATCAAAATATGCTTGTTCAAGTGTGAATTAACCATCGAACCACAAACTAAATGCTTGGAATTCAAATCCTAAAATTCCTAAATTAGGCCAAATATAATCCCCCTAAATTAGTGGATTTTTCTTCAATTAATATGTAATGTTTCATTGTAGATTACTAATTC